AGAGAGAGAGAGAGAGAATATTTATATATAAATTGAGATTAATGAGATTCTGTGTTATTTTGCGATTAAAAATGTAATTTTTGTTTATTTGAAATGACATTTGTGTCGAGCATTGAAACATAGAAACGTTTGTCTCTTAACGTTATATCAATGGATTCTGTGTTTCAATTGATTTTTATATATACGGGAGAAAAATTTAATAAAATTCTTTGGTATAACCTTTTGTCCCCTTATATCGTGTTTTATATCATTATATACTTTATATTATCGTATTTACTATCGGTTTCTATAGGATTCTTGCCATTCATTTATTTCAATTGATTTCCCATATTTTTATTGAATAGAAATTAATGCTTCAATGAATTCCTGTTATTATTTATATGGTATTGACATTGCATTCGCATTACTTTAGTATGCATACAGAATAGTTGCCTTATTATTATGCGTTTTGATTTTGATTTTTAAAATAGCATTTTAATCATTAGGTATTAAAAATGTAAAGTATTTTGTGGGATATCTATACAAATATTTAGCTGTTTTTTAGAGCTTATAATTTGTTTTTTAAATTTTTCTAATGATTTTTCTCTCACTTTAGTTGTTAATAGGTTTTTAAAAAAGCTATTTTATGGTTAAATTTAGTTTTTATAATGGCTTTTATGTTAATCGATAGGCGAGATTGTCATTAAAAATCTATCCACAGACATGACATTAGTTTTTGCATACATTTACTATTTGAGATCTTTTTTACATAGATTAATATTTAAATGGATTTTTCGTGTATTTTATGGTTATTATTATTATCGTTATATTAAAACAAAAATAACAAATTCAGTGAATAATGTTATATAACAATAAGTACACGATATTTAGTTATTAATTTTAATTTGAAGTTAAAATATTATATAAGATTTATATTAATCAATAGGGAATTGGCATTAGTTTTACATTAAACACATGTTTAAAACAAATTAAATTAAACATTTTTACAGCGATTTTAAATCTATAATGAGATTAAAACTAAAATTCAAAAGCATTTCAAACGCTTATAATTATAAACAATTAAATCAAACATTTAACACAAAATTAACGCCAATCTTATCACACATAATCGTATGGCCATTAGAAAGAGACAAAATATTACATTTGCGGTTTGTATGCTTTGTATGTATTGATGTTTGTGTGAAATAAAACCATAAAGTTAGAATTAATAATTAATTAATATAAATTGCGATTAATGAGATTCTGTGTTATTTTGCGATTAAAAATGTAATTTTTGTTTATTTGAAATGACATTTGTGTCGAGCATTGAAACATTGAAACGTTTGTCTCTTAACGTTATATCAATGGATTCTGTGTTTCAATTGATTTTCATATATACGGGAGAAAACATTTAATAAAATTCTTTGTATAACCTTTTGTCCCCTTATATCGTGTTTTATATCATTATATTATCGTATTTACTATCGGTTTCTATAGGATTCTTGCCATTCATTTATTTCAATTGATTTCCCATATTTTTATTGAATACAAACTAATGCTTCAATGAATTCCTGTTATTATTTATATTGTATTGACATTGCATTCGCATTACGTTGGTATGCATACAGAATAGTTACTTTATTATTATTATTATTATTATTATTATGCGTTTTGATTTTGATTTTTAAAATAGCATTTTAATCATTAGGTATTAAAAATGTAAAGTATTTTGTGAGATATCTATACAAATATTTAGCTGTTTTTTAGAGCTTATAATTTGTTTTTAAAAATTTTTTAATGATTTTTCTCTCACTTTAGTTGTTAATAGGTTTTTAAAAAAGCTATTTTATGGTTTAAGTTTTTAGTTTAAGTTTTTATAATGGCTTTTATTGTTAATCGATAGGCGAGATTGTCATTAAAAATCTATCCATAGACATGACATTAGTTTTTGCATTTACTTTTTGAGATCTTTTTTACATAGATTAATATTTAAATGGATTTTTCGTGTATTTTATGGTTATTATTATTATCGTTATATTAAAACAAAAATAACAATTTCAGTGAATAATGTTATATAACAATAAGTATACAGTATTTAGTTATTAATTTTAATTTGAAGTTAAAATATTATATAAGATTTATATTAATCAATAGGGAATTGGCATTAGTTTTACATTAAACACATGTTCAAAACAAATTAAATTACACATTTTTACAGCGATTTTAAATCTATAATGAGATTAAAACTAAAATTCAAAAGCATTTCAAACGCTTATAATTATAAACAATTAAATCAAACATTTAACACAAAATTAACGCCAATCTTATCACACATTTAACACAATTTGCGCACAAATAACCAAAAAACAAACAAAACTAATCACTTTTTGTGGTCTATTCCTCGACAGTAAAGAGAAGTTGCGATTCATATACGGAAAGTGGAGCGACTATCTGAAGACGGCGGCCGCCGATGACTACGACGAGTATTTGCGGACCCATTCGCAGCGGTTCCGAGTGCCCGACCGACCGGCCGACGCCCCGTCGACGCCACGCAAAATGTTTTCAAAGCTCAATAGTCTTACCCGACAACTGACGGGCTCTGGCGGTCACTCGGAAGAGACAACAACGGCCGGCAACGGCTCGGCTCTGACCGCACAGGACTCGGTGGACAAGTCGGCCGCCACCGACTCGGACCAGACAAACGGCGAGATTCCCAAAAGCGATTCCAGCCATTCGCTGGACATTCCCAACTCGCGACTGGTATGGCACGTGACGGGTCGACCCGAACACTCGCCACAGTATTATCACTTCACGCTGTTCTCCATGTCGTTAAACCAATTGACCGACTCGTTGGCCGCTCGGCTGCCGCCCACTGATAGCCGCTTTCGGCCCGACGTTCGCAAACTGGAAGAGGGAGACCTCGGTATGACACGACCCGTACCCGCCATTTGTCTCATTTGTTGATTGATTTGTTGTTTTATTTTTATTTATAGAGAGCGCAGCGCTCGAGAAGAATAGGTTAGAAGAGAAACAAAGAGATGTCCGACGACTGCGGAAGAAGAAGAAGGATCAATGGGAACCGCTGTATGTTTGCCATTATTAGTTGATTACTTGTTTGTCTCACTTATAGTGAGCCAAAACAGTTATAATGACAATTAAATACTGATTTCTATCACGTGTTTTGTTGACCAACAGATGGTTTAAAGCCGAACAAAATCCGTACACAAAAGAGGACGACTGGGTATTCAAAGGCGATTACTGGCGCCGGGAGTTCGCCAACTGTCCAGATATTTATTGAATGAGGGATAGCGATAGCAATTAATTAGCAATTTATATTAATTAATTATTAATTCTAACTTTATGGTTTTATTTCACACAAACATCAATACATACAAAGCATACAAACCGCAAATGTAATATTTTGTCTCTTTCTAATGGCCATACGATTAACGTTATGTTATTTTAGTTTGAGTTTTAATTGTTTGTTAATTAAAATTTGATTTATTAGTTTGTTTTCTTAAATTCATTTTAATCGCAACAAAAACATCTCTCAATTCCCGACCCCAACGCCCCCTCCCCTCTCATGTCATCGGATATTTTAATAGAAGTTTATTATTATTAATTATAATTAATTGATTATATGTTTGTAATTATAATTACGATTATTATTAATGAGAAATGTTTTATACAATTTATTTATATCTATATTTTTTGATGATAAAAAGTGATACAATTGAAAAGTACACATAAATATTATAATAATTAAATTACTACAAATAATAAACGCATAGAAAAACATAGCATACATTATAAATATCTTATAGATTTAATTCAATGAATAAAATATTGAGATTTTCTAATTTGTATCAAATTTTGCCCTAATCAAACTCGATAAGTTATTGTGTTATTATTATTATTATTATTATTTTGTACATTTATATAACGTATGAGATTTTCTTTTAATTATTACTTTATTGAATTTATTATTCCTTTTTGTTTGTGTTTATAATTTGTATATTTAATTATAATTATAACTTATTGTAAACTAAGCGCTGAAACGACATATCCGTACAATTTATTTGAAGAATTTTATGCTATTATTATTGATTTTTTATAACCCCCTTTTTGGCGCCCCCTAAAGCTGGGGCTCTATATTTGTGAATAGTATAATAAAAGTTTATTAAATACATATTATATTTGATTTTAATTTAATTTAATTTAATTAATATTTTTTGTAGATTTGATACTCAAATGCAAAGTGTTTTAAATGGTTAATATCAAAGTTTGTTGAGTTTGTAAATCAATTTAAATTTATATATGATTTGAAGTATGGTTTTAACACATTTAGATGTGCCCATCATATTGTTTACCAGAATATAAACAAATTTTGATCGTGGTGTAAATTATTTCAATATACGCTAGATAAGTTAAGCGTTAAAGTTTACTAGATTTAAACAAAATAATATTTGTTAATTTAAGTTTATTTGAAGTATCGATAATTTCACTATTGATTTGTAAATAAAACATTTAAAAATAGTAAAATGTTTTAAAATTTAAAAATATTATTTTAACATAATTATAAACATGATAACATTTAAATATAACAAATAATACCTTAATCATAGTTAAATTATTTTTGTTTTAATATAAATATTCTATATTTGTAAATAATATGTAATGTAATGTATAATATTGTATACAAAATCCATAAATTTAATTAAGTGTAGTAAAAATAATAACAATTACATTAATAAATTTACGTATTAAACTAACCTAGTCTTAACCTAACTAACCTAGACTTTTGTAACCTGATTAAAACTTTTGCCACAATTCAATCCATAGGTATATAACAGTAACTCTTAGAGCCGACAGATGGACACACTATATAAATACCAAACACCAATGGGTTCACGCCTTTTAATACAAAAAACACATCGAAACAAAACCCCTTAACTCACACCATATTTAACGCCTGCAAACATACACTACGGACTCACCGAACATTTGTAACTATTTCACACACAAACAGCGCAAACACACGCAATGCTATCGCACGCATACAATAGGACCAAAAGTGCGGCCAATAGTCAGTTACCGTACGTAAGAAAAAAGCGCTTTTTATGCATAAAAAAGGTGTAATAAAAACAAAAACCACACAAAAGGCTAAACACAACACAAATAGTGATCAACAAAAAACACATGAAATTCATCGACAAAAACAATGATAATCTGTGGCCACAAGAGTTGGACAAACTTTTTCATCCGCTCATTGATTATCATCGCAGCCAATGAGTGGCTACTGGTGTGGACACTGAAGATGGTCAGACCCGAGGACATATGGGAACCGCATCCGACAGAACAGTTGCCTCGACCGCAACCCCTCAAGACATCAGTCGTGTATCCGATACCGTTGGGCAGCGGTCGGCTACCGCTGGTCAATCCGGACCACTGTTACCGTAGCGTCAAGTGTCGACCGTTGAACACATCCCAGTGTCTGGACGTAACGCTTCCCTACAAATACACGGCCGTCGCTTACGATGGCGGCGACGGCGGCGGCGGCGGTGATGTCCCGGCGCTCGGCTGGACCGCCGACGGCATCGACGACTACTTGAGCCGTTGGAAAGGCTTGCGATCAGTGCCCCAGTGCTGGAAAGCCATGCAATCCGTACTGTGCGCCACATTTATGCCCCGATGTGATCCCAACACCGATCGGGTGTCACTCCCCACTCACGACATGTGCCGTCTGTTGCGACACCCGTGCCGTCTCCTCGAACAGTACCACCACTGGCCGGCATTCCTCCGCTGCGACGACGAGCGCCTATTCCCGCAACAGTGCAAAAACGATTACATGGATCTCAAGTTTTTGTCGGCCCCGGGGGCCCCACCGGCGGCCAAATGCTCCGCCCCGTTGGTCACCACCGATGACTCAAACATCTGGTACCCGGGCATCGAGGGCTGCGGCGTCCAGT